TGGCTGTAGTTTTACATAACCGAATTGTATCATTCGTATTGCGTCTTATTAGTTATGTAAATATTAGTATTCAATCGATCATTTTTTTTCTTTGTGGTTGATAATCAAACGGGATAAAGATTGCGAAATGCGAAATTTCGTATAATAAATAAAGCAAACTTAGAAGATCGAGAGAGAGAAAAGAGAAAATGCTTGATAGTTTAATTTATTCGTTCAAAATATAAGCAGTTTCTCTTGAATAGCAAGACTTTAGTTATATAAAGAAACCAATTGAATATGCTACACAAAGTCATCATGTTTATGTATTATATACAGATTAGCTGCTAAATATATATATATATACATATACGTTTATATGTATATATATGCCTCATGCTAGGAAAAAAAAGATAGGCAATGTTGAAATAAAACTCTTTTGTACTTAATTAAATAGACTTACGATAGAGAGCAAATTAATATTTTCACAGTTTTAGACGTAACGAGAAAGAGAGGAGTTGATCGACAAATTTTTACTTCGTACGTCTCGAAAATTTTTAAATTGATCTTTTTGTAAAATACTTCTTAAAATGGATAAAATCAGAATCACGTGAACATGGTAAAAACGAAAAATAACGGAAAAGTTGCTGATTTCACAATTTACAACATTTTCTTGTATTTTTTATAAATCATGAAGATATACATATATCTTTACGTTATGTTGTCTTTTGTCATTCTTACAGATTGTTAAAGTATATATTTTAAGATTTTGAAAATATTTTTAAAATTAATTTTTTAAATGAACCTTATGAGACATTTTAAATTTCATTATGTTCTACAGAAATGAATAGTAATTCTATTTGTGATGTATGTGTATATCATAGTTAAAAATAAAATCGAAACATAAAAAGAATGTACTGTTATAATGTGATTCTGTATTTTATCGATTTTTTTATACAAACTGCAGCGTTGGTCGCATCAAAATATATGGTAAAGGACATATTCCGTAGTTTCCATTATTCTGCAAAAAAAAATATATATATACTGTTTTCGTGAAATTTCGCTATTGAATTATTGTTAACGAGTAGGGTTTTTAACAATGGAAAATTCGCATGCGACTTTCACATTTCCTTTGCCATATTGCAACAATTACACACACACACACACACACACACACACACACACACACACACTCGCGCGCAATGCTAAATCTGCGACACAAGATTGTTAAGTAAAATCAGTTGTAGTAATAATCGAAATACAAATCTGTTGATATACATGTGATGATTATATACATATTCTTCGTACTAAGAGTCAGCTGTGTGGTTTAATTAGGCGACACATTTTACGCGAGGAGTAAATATAATTACTTTTAAGCCGCAGATGATAATCGTACGCTAGCTTAAGTAGATTTTACAGATAGTTGTATTCGATGGGGCACTATATCCCGATAGCACTTCTCAACTTCTGCACTACATTTCACCGGCATCGAGTTTCGTTTCGATTTGACATAGCTTGCGCACCTCACTATGTGCCTTATCTGGAGAACGCATTGGTCATATCGAAATCTGTGTTTCCGAATCACAGTTACCGAACTTGCAATTCAAGAATTTCACATCGGAATCGGGATTCATTACGTAACGCGACTAAAGCAGTGCCAAATCGAGTGTGTTGTACGTAGCGATTATAAATGTGTATCAAGAGGAAAAAAAACGATAATTTATTTGTATCAATATCAAACGTCGTTTTGCCAATGAGAACCATTGTATTTTATTTCTTCGCGAGTCTACGGTGACTATGTAAAGAGAGCTGCGGAGTGCGGACTGCGGCAGCCGAGAACGGATAATGGTACTTACTGATAAAAGAAAAAAAAATTCCTTCGTGAGCCTTGTCAGAAGTTTAGTTATTTTATGTTTTCGAACAAACGTTTCCATTATTGGATTTCCAGCAATAAATTATGTTCTTCACAAACAAATTCTTCGAACGCTAAATCTTCAGACAAAAATTCCGCAAGAGACATAAACTTTTTCTTTGTGGCGCTTGTTCCTGAATTCGAAACCGTAGATGGCGTAGATACTGCAAAAGCAGTTGCGACTTTCCACTTTAATGTTTCGCTTTAATGCCGTAAATTCAACATTTTTTTAAATACAAATACATAAAATTAACTCTCTTTTACGTCTCGAAAAAAATGAAAGAAAAAAGGAATTTAAGATCATAACACAAAGATAAATAACGACAAAATGGTCATCGGCGGATCTTGTGTCTACTCTGATGGGCATTTTTTTAGAATTTTTTCACCTAATTTGTTTTAGATTTTTTTAATGTAAATTTCAAAATTTTCAGAATATATGTAACATAAATTTTATAACTTTAAAAAAATTTTTTTAATACTTTGTACAAATTGGAGTACTTTAGAAGTATCGAGAATGTCTACGTTTTTTCTAAAACAATTCTCCGTATATAAGGTACATGTTCCTCGAATCGATCGCAATAATCATATGTGGGTCAATTCTAACTCGTAAAAACGTGTTCTCGTAAAATTTGTAAGAACTTGTGACTAGTATTCTAATTTTATGCGTATTCTAATTTTATGTATCATAAGACGTACGATTATTCGTAAATATCTACGATTTCTGGTAAATTTTATGGCTAGTAAGAAGCTGTCTGCAAAAATATTGTATAAAGGTATAAGCACTTAAAAATTCTTACAAGTCTTACAGGAGTATGTTACGAGCCTTATGATTCTGCTTAGAATTTAGGCATTAGCTACTCCTGTTGGGTTGACGAAATGTTTCTAACAAAAGTTTGTTGTTTTTAGTGAAGAATTAATTGGATAAAAAAAAATGTCAAAATTGTTCATTTTTTAACCCAAATCGATACAGCAGTATGTATCAGATTATTAGATTAATTATTCGATCTTAAAATAATTCAATTATTACCATAGATTTTATAGATCGTATATAAAATCTGTTACTTGCAAATATAACTGTAGGAAACATACATATGTAGATTGTGTTCCAAAAGTTACTGCCAGTGTTGAAAATCTGTAGTGCACGTGACGTAAACTATAAATTTTCGAACACAACCGTAGAAACAGTCGTCGAAATACATAAAAAAGAATCGAAACATACATAAAGTGGTGACCGATTCGAGGAACATACTGTATACGAATTCTGAGGTATGCTGAAATTTCTAAAATTTTTTATTCTATATGATTTCTGATAAAATCTTATCAAATCTGAAAAAAGTTAAGGTATTTTTTCAGAAATTATAGAACAAAAAATCTTAAAATATTTCGAAATTCACACATGAAAAATTAATATTTATTTTTTGAGTATTAATAACTCGCAAAGAATTCATCTTAAATATATTTATTATGCAAATTTGTACGTTACTTTTAATAAAAGTAACATTTAATTTACGAATTAAAAACCGAAATATGATTTATTCTTATACAAAATTAAGAAATAGAAAGATTTAAAAAAGAGTGTCTTTTGAATCTGAAAAAGAGCTCACAATTAACTCTCAGGAACATTTTGAACAGAAATGAGAAACAGGAATTCATTTCGTAAGTCGGGAATAAAAAAAGGAATTCTTTTCGGACTCTGTGTGCTATAATTAACCCTTAATACACACCTTAGTTTTTGGAACTCTTAATACACATATTCGGTCGTTCGTGTCCTGGATTAATTTTCACTTTTACAAGTATATATAAATTGTTAAACGATTTTTACATATAATTTGACATCTTTAGAAAGTATTTGTACAGTTATATATTCATAACAAATTGTAGATAAATTGTTATAACTAAATATAGTTAACAAAATGAGAAAAATGCACCGTTTCATATAAAAATGTAAAACTCTGAAACAAAATTGTTTAGAGGAAAAATATAGTTTAATATCTTAAAATTGATATTCCAAACTACAAAAAAATAGTTCAAGCGTCGGCTATCCAAAAAGTTTAGTTATTGAGTAACCTGAACAACATAATATATAATATACTGATAACGTTTAGCTAGCACAATGGTGCCAAAAATCGTGTTTATTAAGGGCTAATATGTTCTAAGGTTAAATCCTTTTTTTAATAATTCGCGAAATATTCTCGCAACACAAACGAGAATTAGTTGAAAATAAAGAAAAAAAATGAAAATTTTTTAGTTATAAAAAATATATTCTGTACACACGTTAGGTCATTAATTGTGATCCAGAGGTGAACTTCGGAGTTATGCCAGTTAAAGGATACGCACCAATTGAACCCGCGGTAATGCACAAAACTTATTCTTTATAGACACCAAACTTTTTTTTAGGAATAGAAAGGAGACCAATATTTGACCAGGTGCTCTTAATATTTCAAAGAAAAGAAATATGCAGGACACGAATGACCCAGAGGTGTGTATTAAGAGTTAATAATTTGGGACGTTATAATTAGTAAATGTAATTAGGGGAATTTAAGAGTTCACAATCTCGAGACTTGATTATCTTGATTTATTTCATATTTTAAATACGCTATATTTTCCAAATATATAAAATATAATCGCTTATCTATCTTGAGCATTTGGCGCTTGCTGTCGCATGTCGCACGTGTCATATGTCAATATCCTATTCTAACTTAACCTAACCCTAATCCAACCTGCCTGCTCGGAGTTGCGCCGATCAGCTGATCCGCAGAATACAGCTGATCATTGACGTTTGTAGCAGTTTAATTGTAGTTTTATGGTTTTATCTCGTCATTGTCAAAGGAGACAGCCGATAGTTCGTATAGTCACATTTCTCACGGATTTACAACGAAATATTATCGAGAGCTGAAGGTTATAATGCAAACGGAGACGAAGCGCGAGAAGCGTAACTGAACTCTAAAGTCGGCAGACTCGGTCTTCTTTTGATATATTTATTTTATATTTTTGAATTACATCTACGCGTAATTTATATCGCTATTCCGAGATCGAAGGTGTTCCAGTTACAGCACTGGCCGTGCGAATTTGTAAGGAGTCTGTCACAGGGGAATTGCAGCGCATCAGAAGATTTATCAAGTGCGGACGTTAAAAAAATTTTTGAAAATTTCTGACGAAACTAACCAGATTAATAGGTAATAATTTTTAACACAGTTTTGTATTTATTCAACGACGTTTATTCAATTTACTTGCGGAAGGTTGAAAGGAAAGAATCAGAAAGCGGCAAATTGTTACTAGCCGTATGATCTTCGAGTGAGAAGAGTTGTCTGGTCGTGCGAATTTGCAAGGAGAAATTTGATAGACGTGCTCCCAGCTGATTTCTTCCCACGGCGCTTCCCGAACTGACTCATGACACATTTGCGAATCGATCTCATGGCCAAACTCCAGTCGATGATGCGGCGGAGGTTCCTCGCCCGGGCAAACGTCCTCGCGTTCCTGTTCGCGGCAGTCTTTGTCTTCCTGTGCGTGCGCTACTATCTGCCAGAACGGGAATGTCAACCGGACCAACAGACTCGGGGGAGTAAACTCAAGTATCGGCTGATTGCCCTGATCCTGAGCAGCCCAGACAACCTGGAGCGCCGTAACACCATCAGGAAGACTTGGCTGGCCGAACACGACGCCACAGTGAAGCACTTCTTCGTCGTCGGCACTCAGGACATCCTACCCGAGCAGAGGAATACTCTGCAATCAGAGAAACAGAAGTTCGATGATCTGCTACTGTTGCCCAGGCTGCAGGACTCTTACGGCACGCTGACAAAGAAGGTAACAGTTTGCCGTGTGATATTTTATTAATATATATTGTCAGTTATATATCTTATCATAGTAGGGTTTTGTTTGCTGTAATTCTACAATCATGTCTAATAATCAAACTTTGTATTAAAGCTATGATATATTGTGTTTACATTTTATTATTATATATTAATGATTAATGATAAATTACATTATTACTTTTAAGATCAACGAAATTTCTGTTAACATTGGAATCACAGATTTGGAAACTATGATTTGTCTGTCCATTTAAGTCTACAAATTTTATAACTTGACACCATGAGATAGGACGCTAATAAATCAAAGAAAACACATCACGAAGACCACCTAGATTGACAATATAATGGATAGAAGATCTCTTAGTGTAAGATTATGCCATTGACATGCGAATTTAGTTATTCATTAATTTATTCATTGAAAAGGACCATATTTATGGTTGAAATTTTAGAACGTTTGAATCCATTTCATGATTATATCATATTAATAAATTATCAATCAGCTAACATCAACCAGCTAGGCTATAACAGCTCTGATTTTGTATTCTATTGAATTTTATTCAACATAGTCAAAAACATATTATAATTATAATGTTAACGATATATGTATTATTACGTAATAATCAGGTAAGGCATCACATCAGCCGCAGTCTCATCTATTGCGTATTCTTTATTTGTAACATATAATCATTATTTATCATCAGTGGCGAATTAACGCATAGGCAAACAAAGCAAATTTGAGGGGGCGGCAAATTTTTCAAGACAGGAAACTTTCACACAGTTGAGATAAATTTTTATTTTTAATTTGTTGATCTAACGTTTTTGCACGAGTTACACTGAGCATATTTTATCAAAAACGATATTTTATATGTTTTATATGTTATATAATATACAGTTAAAAATGTATTATATTTATATTACTTATTAAGGATTATTGAATGTTTTTACCAGCTAATGCGGGGGTATAAATAATTTTTTTTTATCCATTTTCCCTTTTATTAAATTTATAAATTAATGAAGCCACCTGGGGGTGACTAAATGCTTAATCCGTCACTATTTATGATATAAATGTAAGGATCGATGAGAACAAATCTAATTAAATAAGAGAATTCCTATATTAGATCAAAGCGGATCTTAGCGCTTAAATATTTCTGTGCGAATTTATATAGGTACATATTTAATTCTGAAATCTACGTGCCAAAATCTTTTTCGATCTTGTAATGCAATCATGAGCAGAACTAGAGTAGTAATATCAATTACTACTCTACTGTTGACACAAGCAATTTAATAATTTTTGATATAAATAAGCATCTCAAGAATATTAATAATTAAATTAGATTAATGAGAATCTAATATCAGCAAATAATTTTATTACGAAAAATATTATCATAGCCAGGGTTTGAATCTGAAACTCCCGACTTTCCAGGATGGAAAAAAACGTAATACCAACGAGTTCGACCACCGAGATTCAGTAATATTTATCGCAATAACCAATAACTAGTAAACGAGCATCATGTTTCAAGGAGACGCGTGATAAACAATATCATACGAATTTAAGGACGAATAAGAATAAATTTAATTAAATAAGATTTCAATACGCACGTTGTAGCTGTAATCAGATATGTATTTAAATTCACACAGAAATATTTAAGCACTAACAAGACCCGCTTTGAATGAATATAGGAATTCTCTCTTATTTAATTATAATCACTACTTCTTTGTACAATATATATTTATTAATTTCTAATTGCCAATCATTCTCAATAATGTTATTATTATTATTATAAGGTTCTCCACACTCTGAAAGCCGTCCACGAGCATTACGACTTTGACTATCTGCTGAAATGCGACGACGACTCGTATGTGCTGGTATATAAGATCCTGAAGGAGCTCGACAAGTGGCAGAGCAAGGGCACCAAGCGAGAACTCTATTGGGGCTTCTTCAACGGACGGGCACAAGTGAAGAGGAGCGGTCCCTGGAAGGAAACCGATTGGATCCTGTGTGATTATTATCTTCCTTACGCCGTAGGTGGCGGATACGTTCTGTCTTACAATCTCGTCGAGTTCATCGCTAAGAACGCAGACATCTTTAAGTGAGTACAGCTGCGAATCATGTATAAAATATTCTATATTTAACGTATACTTTGATGTACAGTTTTCTTAGATTTCTTCATATAATTTTTCAGAATTTCTATATAATTTTTTACAACTTTTTCTTTAGAAAAGTTCTTAGAATTTTTATATGAACTGAAACCTTTTAAAAATGCTAGGAAAGTTTATAGATTTTTCTAAAATATATGTGAACTCTTTTCTAAATCCTTCATATCTGTGAAATATTCCAAGACTTTGAAAATTTCTCATTTTATAATTTTTGAAGAAAACTTATGAACTGTTAAAATTTAAGATATTTTTTCAGAAATTTTCATAACTTAATTTACTAAACCTACATATTCTTAAAAATATTATGTGTGTGTGTGTGTGTGTGAGATTATGAAAATTTTTTTCACCAGTGCTGCAGTGTTCCGCTTACAATTAGACATTTAAATAAAAAAAAATTATCATAAATTCTGAATTTATTATATGATACGTATTTACGATACGTATTCTTCCAGATACAAAAGGCTCAAAAATAGATTTCAGAGTTATTCTTTACACTGGCGCCCACCTTCTGTCTTAGAACTTTGTATGTTATGAATTTTTCTTTTATTATATGTCTAAACGGAACATTGTACACTTTGCATATAAGATTCTGCATATAATGAAGAACAATAATTTTGTATGCTCCCTGGAAAAAAAATTCTCTTATTTTTAAGAATTGGTCTTATTTCAAATTTACGAAAATTTCTGCAAAAATATTTTAAATTTTTTTAAAGCTGGCGAACATCAAGAGGAAGCACGTATGCTTCGATATAGAATACAGGTCGCGCGGTTGTTCCAATCAGTACATAATTACGCACAAACTTACGGTTTACAAACGAAATTGTCTTCAGAAATTATAAAGTGAAAAATTTTAAACAATATTTCACAATTCATGAAAAATATATCAATTCGTATAAAAAAATCTGAGAAATATATATTTTCTAAATTTTTTTTATTAAAATTATTCTGAAGAATATTTTATATAAAGAATTATAACAAAATTTTTCACAAACTTTACAATCTAGCCTAGTCTTAATCAATTCTTTCTGTGCTATTTTTCTTTTAAATTCATGCACCTGCACAATCCTAGACTCCACAATTCCGAAGATGTCTCCATCGGCCTCTGGCTTGCACCGCTGGCGAACATCGAGAGGAAGCACGATGTACGCTTCGATACGGAATACAGGTCGCGCGGTTGTTCCAATCAGTACATAATTACGCACAAACTTACGGTCCAGAATATGCTGAGTATGCACGACTATTACCAGGCCTCCTTAGGCGCACTGTGTCCTAAAGAATTTAGGAATCGCATGAGTTATCAGTACAATTGGACCGTACCACCTAGTCAGTGCTGCAACAGACAATCCGGTATCCCTTAATGCGGCAGGGAGATTTCTGCCACTTCTAGTTCTAGTCGCGTTTTTTAATACTTGCTCAGAAAACATGTTTATCTCATACATTTGTAACGGCTTCTATTTGTAAGCTTTCTATTTATGTTCTGACTTATTAGGATACATTGATATCAAATGCTATAAAAATGTAGCCGTTTCTAAGAATAAGCAATTCAAACAGTATTATTGAAGAAAGTTGCGAAAGTTTATAGCGAATTCGTGACATTTCATCGAAAGAATTAAAGCAACTTCAAATCTGAATTTTATTCATTACTCGAGCATAATTGTACGACAGCGCTATTAAATAATTAATTGAAAACGTTTGTAAATATATATTTTGTAAATATTTAGCGATGAAAAGGTAGACATAGACAAAATAAGTTTCTCGATGAACTAAATATATTTTTTTTAATCATATTGCCATACTTCGTTTATAATACACTTTTCATCATCAACAGGAGTTTACTTCATGTATATAAAGCGTTGTACATTCTTAACGTATAAAAACAATAACGTTAATTTAATATACTAATTAAAACTGTAAGTCGATAATAATAGTCTTAGCGAGTGAAATCACAGATATATTCAAGAAACGGCCGTGAAAAAAGGCGAAAATGTAAAACGCGATTTGCATTATCAATAAGTTACTATTTTAACATATAATATAAAGAGAATGTGTTGTGAAGCGATAGCGAGATGATGGCCGATTCTCAAAACGTTCTCCGTCTGTGATGGGTTTACATCCGAACTGTGCTTCCATTACATCTAAAATTAATAATAAAAATTCACTTACGATATTTGAATCAATAATAAAATTTTATTTATGTATCATCCATTTGATACATTTAAAAATGAGATCTCAAACTCACTATGTATACGAATTATAGTCGCTTCAATAGATTCCTTTTAATATAGAAAAAATCCGCAATGTAATTCTATAATGATAAAAGGAAATTTAATTTATTACAACAATCATTTCTGGAGACATTATTTACAGACATTATTATAACGATAAGCGAATATGTGTTTGCGTGTCACATATTTATTATTATATGCGTCACGTAAAAATAAAAGAATTGCTTCGTTATTAGTATTAGATGCAAATGGAAATGCAGTTCTACACACTCTCTCTCTCTTTCTCTCTCTCTCTCTCCCTTCTCCCCTCTCTCTACTTCTCTCATAAATTTTCTATCGTCCTTTTATACAAAAGTCGATTTACTTTCAATATGAAACAGAGTTTTGCACTAATCTCTTCTTCAAATAGGTGATGATCAACAGATTCATTTTTCCAAGGTTTATTTCTTTTTGCGATCTTGCGTACATTTGGGACAATACCATTTTCCTTTAGGTTTTGTTGTTAAACCCACGCAGGCAAAGTGGAACCATTCTATAGGGCACTAAAATGAAAAAAAGAATTAATTATCTTGATCCTGTGATAACGATTAAATTAAATTAAAATAAAAATTGAAAAAAATTCATTTAAAAAAATAAGTAACAAAGTTTCGTTCGTTTAATTTCTAATAGATATTGCAGTAAAAAAATTTAAACAAAACTTACATCTGGATTATCACAACCAATCATTTCTCCATATGATACTTGATGACAAAGACAGTAAGTCGGTTCGTTAGGATCGACAGGCATGTCAAGAACATCAGCTGGATGGCCAAGTGCTGTTGCATCTACCTGGGCGCCACTTCCCACAACGCCAGTGGACGATGCTGAAGCTACTGAGCCACCTGATATGAATATATATACATTTATAATAAAACATAATAGATTAACATTTAAAAATTTATAAAATTGTAGCAAGTTGTATTTATAAAATTGTAGCAAGTTACAATTATATAACTTGATTAACATACCTTTCTTCTGTTTCTTTCTCGCATTCTTGGCTTCATCCTCACTGCTAACTACCGTACCCTTCTTCCTCTTCTCCTTCTCCTTGAGCTTCTTCCTACCCTTTTTGCTAGCATTGCTCTCCTCCTGTGCTCTATTGCTGTTTAATGTTTTGTCCTGTATCTCTGCCTCAAATCTTGCCAGATCTGAATCCAGTCGTCTGATGTGCTTATCGACTAATTCGTAAGTTTGAATAGCTAGTTGGACTTTGTCATCTCCGTATTCCTTAGCCTTGTTAAAGAGACTTTGTATATGAGCGAGTTGTTCTTTTTTCTTTTCCGGCAATTCCTTCTTCATATTCCTCAAGTAATCATCTGCCAGTTTATCAATATCTTTCATAAGACCCTGCGCTCTAGCATCTAAGTCACGCATTAGTGTAAAATTCCTCTGTAATTCGATTGGCAAATGCTCGAGACCTGCAACGCACATAAGTGAGAATCAAATGTATGTGGTCATCTCCAAATCTATAACTATAAGGAATTAATTTGAATGTTGTATTATTATCTGAGACTCTTTTAGTCAATAGAAGCATTTATGTAGCTTAATATAATAGTCGATAATATAAAAAACAAGTTGTTTTAAAATTAAATAAAATTAAATAAAATCATTTTTGTAGAGAGAGAGAGAGAGAGAGAACGAACATCAGTGGCATTAAAAATCAATATTTTCACAAGTAAATAGTCAATACTGTTCCACTTCTATTTTCTACAATATTATAATTTGGACTATATTATAAAAGTAAAAATGTTTAAAGTATTTAAAAATATATTTTATTTAACTGTTAGCAATGTTTAATGGAACATGGCAATTATATTATCAAAAAAGCAACTAAACTTCCTGAAGTCATTTGAATCACCATTATGATTGTTTATAAGTTGAAAAAGGATTATGCTCAGTTTTATAGGAGAATTTGGGCTCTGGATGAACAACTTTGAGACATGCCTAAAATTTTAAGGTATCAGAAGAGAATCAAAAATTCCATAAGCCTAACTTTATAGGAGAGGTTTCCTGAGTGCTCCTAGAACATACATATATTGGCCACATTTCAATTAGACAATTAAAACCTTTTGTTTCATACTTTGAGTGTCTCTCTCCCCTTTTCATCGATTAATATATATCACTTATAATTATTCATTTGGGGTCCAAAAAAGGTTTTAGTTATCTTCGTCAAGATTGAACATATTCCAAATACTAGATGATTCGAGAAATCGAATAAAACTAGTCCTACTTGATACATAATACATGGTCGTAATAGCGAACTTTGAACAGCTGTAGCACTCAAGGGACTCATTTTACAAAGTTGTGCATATGGAACTTTTTAATCCTTTTTTGATGCTCTACAATCCTAGCTAGATCTCAATGCTGTTCAGCCGGGGCCCAAACTGGGCATAGTCCTTTAATCACGCTATTAATACATATTACAAATTATCATTGAAAGTGTGCAGAGAGATGATCTTTTTGGCCTCAAGAGTAACCACAATAGCGATTCAAATGACCTTAGGACATTTAATTGTTTTTTGGCACTTCTTAATAATATAAGAATTGCTAACAATGGTTAAATAAGATATATTTTTAAATATAAACTTCAATAGTTTACTTTTATAATTCAAACTGAAAATTTTGAAGTAAAACAATAATGATTACTTATTTTTGAAAATATTAATTTTTAATAGTACTTATATTAGGCCTGTTCCTTTTAGCTGAATTTTTGCACCAGTTCATCTTTTTCCTCTTCTTTCTTCCTGGAAAGAAAAGAAAGAAGATGAACTGGTGCAAAAGTTCAGCTAAAAAGAACAGGCCTATTTTTTATAAAAATGATCTCTTTATTTAATTTCAAAAAACCTTTTTTTATATTAGTGACCATTTATATTAAACTACAGAATAAAATTTTACCAATAGTAAAAAAATTCTCAGATAATAATGCAATATTCAAATTAATTTCCCTACCTAGTTATCGTTTTTACGATAACTACTTTTGATTTCCTGTACATCGATTTTAAACAATGGCTGTGCTTCAGCAGAAAAAACTAATCAGTTAGCACTTAGTAATTTTTTAATATGATTGGTTCTTGCCTCTAAGTTCTTTGCTGGATCTAAGTATAGGAATCAATCATATTAAAAAATCGCTAAGGAAGCTTTCCAACAAAAGATACAGAATGATACGGTATGGCACGATGAATCGTTACATCCTTGTTCACCAATGTTAAACAAGGATGAGTGATCGCTGTGTCGCACAATGTTGTTTGTTGGAAAGTTCTCTAAGTATTAACTAATTAGTTTTCTCTGCTAAATATACACACACAGCCAATACAAACAGGACTATTTTGCATGTTTGTTATATGCTTGTACATTTAAAGGAACTATTCTTTGACTGCACTGAACCACAATAAAACTTTATATTTTGCTTTTATCAAATATTTCATATATATATGTATATATATGTATATATATATGTACATATATGTATATATATGTATATATATTTCAAGTACAGCGAGTGTAAACTACTTCAATTACAAGGAAAACTACTAAAACAAAAATTAACAAGAAGTAGAGTCTGATTTTAAATGCATAGTCTAATTTTAAATTCAAAAATTAAATTCAATACTAAAATAACTGTAATTGCATATAAATTAGAGACTTACATATAAACTTAATAAACACTATACCTCTCAAAAAAGTTTGAACAAGATATTAGAAATTATTCTTTTTCTTTTCCAACTTTTATTTTTGAAAAAGTTAGGTTAGGTATCTAACAAAGCAATGTCAAATCCTTCAATTCAAACACTAACAAAAAGATTTTTATAATTTCAATTCCATTGAGAAATAAATGTAATTTCTCGCAATGCAAACAAACAAAAATTTTAGAAGATATAGAAAAATTTAGACACGAGGAAAATCGGACCAAGTAAATAAAAAAAATTAGAACGCTCGATTATCTTCCACATTTTCTTACTATACCTTCATTCTTCTTTCGAAGAATAGAAGAAAAAGGGAATATACGAATTTGAAGAAATAAACTAGCACGTACAATGTATGTATGTGTACGTACATACAATGCCAATACTCACTGTCGAGATAATGCTCTAAATACAACGCGGTCGTCATGGCGATAGCGTCGTATCTTCATGTAAACAAAAGGTATTGTATAAATAATTAACTTTTTCACGAAATGATCAACGAGAAATAACGGCAAAATAAATATTCGTTCAACTGACAACGATCCTCGATAACGAACACAGATAAAACACGACAGTAGCCATGATTGACTACCATCATAGCTGCCAACCATACATCGGCTGCGTTCGGAAACGTCGCTCGGATGCCTCCAATGCCTCGGATTCATCATCTGTCCTTGTTTAATGCCTAATTCACACTGACGCAGCAAGCGTCAAGCAGCGGAGCAGCGACCAACCAGCAAGGCGATAATGGGTGCATTCAGTACTACAATCGCTCACTGAGCGCTCAGTGAGCTCTTGTACCTATTTGGTCTATATTTTTAGTTCTAACGGAATATGCCAATCAGATGCAAGAACTCACTGAGCACTCAGTGAGCAGTGTAGTACTGAATGCACCTATTGTTTACGCCACTGTAAATATCGCCTCACTGATTGGTTGCTACTCCACTGCTTGACGCTTGCTGCGTCCAGTGTGAATTAGACATAACATTTAATGGCTGCGTTCAGCAGAGGCCGGAATCCATAGTTCGTTCTTATCTTAAGCAATGTCTTAAGCTGGTTCTACATTAGTCGCATCGCAGCGTCGC